TCACAAACAGGATGGATACAGCCTTGATTTGAAAGGAAGCTCATTGTCCATAACTGGGTGTGTAGGCCTGACTCCGCTTCCTTTAGCAAAGCGGGTCGAGATGTAATCACTTTTTAATCAAGTGATGTCTTATATTTTGGAGCTAATTTTAGCAGCCTTTACATCATTAAAATGTTGAACAGCAAAAACAGCCCCGTTACATAAAGCCATTCAAAGAAAGTCCTTTCTGTTTTATGTGAAACATGAGCCGTCACTTTGGGAAATAAAGAGACAGGTTTCCATTGCAGCTCTCAATGCTTGTCCCACATAAAAAAACTCATTGGATATGTCAAGGCTGGCTTTTGATTGAAAGACAAAGAATGGGCGACTGAAACCCAATGACAAGATAGCAGATCAAACATTCCTCAGGTGATGTATTCCCACTGTGATGAGCGGCCGTTCCCACAGACACAAAGAGACCGGTGTTTCCATCAGAGCCTGGGATCCAAACCGCCACTCAGCGGTACAATCAGTGATTCAAATGTAGCCCGAATTCATTACAAAGGTTTTGGATAGGGTTAAGGTCAAGTTCTTTCACACTAAACTGGGAAAAAACTTTTCTTTTTGGAGCTGGCTTTGTCATGTTGAGACAGAAAAGGGATGAAGACAACCTGTTGCCACAAAGAAACATTATTGTCCAATAGAAGATATCTCTTTGTATGTGGAAGCATTTAGATTGAACTTATGTTGGACTAAAGGGCGCAAACCAGGAAAAATAGACCAATACTCAGGTGTCTACATACGTTGCCTACTTTTGGCCATTTAGTAAATTGATTATAAGTTCATATGTTCTACTGAAATGTGGCAGTTGTGAGAGCATGGTGTTCAGATTTAAAGGTATGATTTTTACAATCAAATAAATACTGTTGGATGATCTACCAGCTGCATTAAAAAGAAAAACGTTAGCATTTTGGAATCATTATTGTTGTGCAGATTTGAAGATTAATGGTCAGAAATACGTTGACTTTTGGCCCCATAGCACGAGTCAAGCTTCACAAAACCTAGATCCTACATTTTCCACAATGCAACTGCAAGTAATATCTTTATTGACTAATTCCCTGCTCTAATTTTTCAAACTCTATGACCCACTTTTGAATGCAAGCTGTGCAGAAAAGCCAAGCTCTTCCCTATCAAACCAGGACTTCTTTTAATAAAGCTGGTTTTTTGCATGGGGAGCATGTTGAAGAAAAAAGGAACAATCGGTCACAACAAAGCTCACTATTGTTGTAATGTAGAACAATGGAGACAAGCCCAGATCATAAACAGAGGTGTCTACACATTATACCATAATGTAGGACACAAAGATAGAGGATGTGTTTTAATTTGAGTTGTTGACAATAACAAAAACTATGGAATAATGTTGGTTTTATCCTTTATGCAATACAATACGAGTCAGTTTACATACCCGTTCTTGTACTTGAGAGAAAGAGCCTTCCAGAAGTTAATTTCCTCGTCTTTCGAGGAGAATTTTGGTATCATATCTGTTTCCATGGCAAACAAATCTGGAAGGAAAGGAATAAGAAAACAACAGTGATTAAAACAGCCAGGTTTATCACACAGAACTGAAAAAACTCTCATTACATTTTCCAATAGCTTGAGATCTTAGTCTATAAAGACACGAGTGAGAAACTCACAGCTAGGAATTCATCATCAAAAGAGCTCCCTGCTGATTCGCAGAAACCCTGAGGAGTTCCCCTCACAGAGAACCACACTCTTCTCTCCGGGGTTTGAACAAAACAGCCTTTGGATTTGATATTGGCCTTCCATAAGATCAAATCAATCTAAGCCTGTTGAAAAAAGGGCCCTTCTGACATTACACAAGACAACAAATCTGTTACTTAGTTCAAAATGCAACCGAGTGCTGCCTGATCTGTTCCCAGAGGTAACATTGGGGCCCGAAGCCTCGTTTATACTGACTCATAATTAGAGAGGAAACAAGAATTTAACCCCTAAACACCCAACTCAATGTGAGCAGCAGCAGATGGGAACACGCCCAACTGAGAAACCAGAACATTTTTTGTCAACATTAATCAATCCCTTTGACTTAAATAGAAAGATAAAGAGAAGCTGATGACGAAAACAATGTTGGACAATGTTTGTTAAGTACAAAGTCCTTTTCTCCCCCCATCTTTGAAACTGGTTCACTTGCTTTCCATTTTGTGTCCCCAGTTGACTGAACGGGAATCAAAAGAGATGTTTACCTGTAAACCAAACAATTAAATGGTATGGCCAGAGGTAGCAAGTCAGTCAGTATTACTAATGTTCAGTATTTAACTATTTGTACTTTTCAGAGGTATATTGTATCTCAATCTTTTTGGTAATTTGTGTTACTTTGCAGATTCGTTTTAATTATACAGTACATAATATAATCAATAAATGCATGATTATATATTATAACAGGTTGCCCAATGCCCAGCTACCAAGCTGTATATGAAATAAGTTATATTATATCAATGTTATCCTACAGTGAAACCAATCTTCTCATGTAACTATATGCAAGAAGGATATATAAGCATATTTCCCAAAACGTTGTTATCTCGTGGATGTTTGATTATGGACAAAACGTCTACATAAGCATCGCAGAGACCGGTCAGAAATAATAGTGAGAAATTATTATATTCAAAACAGCAAACCAAGAGTTAAAACTAGAACAGCAAATAAGAATTCCAGAATGCAATACCAAACTATTGTGCAGGTCCAAAAACTGAAATAAACCTTAATAAGAATGGTATGTGATTATTAAAGTGTATGGTATGAGAAGGATAACAAGGAATCAAGGCCAGCAGGGGCCTCTTAAGTGTCACAATAAATACTGCTGACTTCTAGCATCATGGTGAAAATGTCCTTGACACAATAAAAATCCTTTACAACAACTGAAGGACAAGGGAAGGCAATCTGGCCTTCAAAAACTCAAACGGAAATGTCATTAACCATAAAGAGAGCTTGTCTGCTCTTGCTGTCACTGACTTATTTTATGTTGCCCTACAAACATATCTTTCTATTTTTCCTGAATAACTCAGCTTCAGATTACATTCACCCAGCAGCCCACAGGGAAACTATAGTGTTATTACAGTAGAGGAGAATGCATCACATGCCATTTTGATAGCATCATAAAGAGGGTCGTGAGGGCTATGCCCCCTACATAAAACACAACAACTGTTAATATTTTGCAAGAGGATAATTTATTTTATTTATTTCCTGTTTTCTCTTTTTGATAATTGGAACAGTCCTAAAACAGAGAGAACAATTACAATTAAAAAATGTTTCCTTCATGTTAACTGAATAAGATTGATCTTGACCTACGAATTTCGATATTATAAGGAATATATTATAGGATTTAAAAAATATTGTTTTTTATAAGACTGGCCTACACTTTAAAATCTTCTTTAGACATACTGATTTAATTTCCAAATGAGAAATGACCCTGTTGAACACTGACCATAAGGTAATCTGGTTGACTAATTATAACATTAGTCACCTGGCAAACAAACTAAAATAGTTTAATTGATGCATTAAAAATACCATACATTTGTATTGAGTATTTACCCTTTATATATACAGTCTATCTATGGTAATTACATAAAACAGGACCAGAATGACACCAGGATTGGCGTCTAACAGCACAAACATGATGCTGAGCTCAGCTGTCAAAACTGGGTGTGCAAACAAGCCGTGAACCGAACGAACGACCAGCTTCAGCCCGACGACATGTTGGCTCTAGTGTTTTCATTTGACTGGTTTCCAAATGAAGACAAAATACAATAAAATTAAAAGCATTTAGTACCTGAACATCGCCCCGAACAGTGATGTTTATCAGTCCATTATTCCCGCTTGGGTGAGCTGCTGAGGCCGAGCTTCTTCTATGATGTCTGATGATCTGTGCTGACTCCTCTCAGCGGGGAATTTAATGGGGAGCCCACCCTAAATATGAATATTATTAATCCCGATATTTGTGACTCAGGTTGGATAAAAGTGTGAAATATTAAACTATTGTATTCTCTTTTTAAGACTGGGAATATAAATGTGGATAAAGCTATTGAAAACAACCCTGGAAAGAAACAGATTTTAGGGTGGATTTCCTCAGCACTCACTTGCTCTGCTCTGTTCACGAGCTTCACTGCTGCACACAAACTGCGCATGATCACGCATTATAACAAATAACGGAGTAAATATCAAGTTAGCACCATCTGCTGCTCATCGACTACAACAGGGTTTAGTATTACTTGATTTAAGTTTTTATGATGTTAGGGACAGAATAAACAAATCTTGAAATAAATAAAGTCATATTGTGTTGTTAAATTAACTGTGTAAACAAGGTGTTCTTGTGTGGTGCAGGCCATCTGTATGGAGAATCTTAATTTACTCAACGTTATTAGATTACAGAATTTTAAGGTACAAAGTAAAAACATATAAAAGAAGCAGTCTAAAGTATTTGATAATAGTTTAAAATATATTTTAGAAGTTAAAATGGGGACACAATAAATTATTTAATTTGTAATTTAATTAAATAAAAAAAAATGTACTTAAAAAAGGGTACATCTCTTAACTTATTAACGTATCTGTAGGTTGAGTCATTTAAAAAAGGAGTAGTGAAAAAACCCTCTGTTTTGACCCAAAAAATAGAACTACATTCTGAAATTAAATCAATAATATCAATATTACTTTCTATGTACTTGTCTTACTATTCATTTACCAAGAGAGTATTTATAAAATCATGACATAATGTATTTAGTTAACTGGAAATGTTTCTACACATTTGTCCTCTACATTTTGTAACATTTGTATTAATTGTTGTTTTATTATTATTACAATGTACTACATTATCTCTCTAAATACAGAATTCAGATTAAGTTAGTCTTGCATTTTCTTTTTCAACAGGTGATAAGATTTGGCTTGGTTTGTCAAAATAACAACTGCGTGGTCTTTGACGTCAAACGCGTCATTACCTCACATGTTTCCATGGTAACCGTGCGGAGATCGTAAAACTAATTAGACAAAATGACTGAGAAGAGTTTAGAGAAAATTACGAGCTTTTCCTGGGACAGAGACTCCGAGAACATGGAAGAAGACTCAGCGACCATGTTCGACGTGTTCAACAGTCATATGAGAGAGGTTTGTGCTGCTGCAGCCTGTCATGGTGGGAGTTAGCTAGCTCACCTACTGTAGCTACTCTGCTATGTGAGGTTACTGTGTACATTCTTTGAACGTTACTCGACTAACCCATAATAAAGGGAAACACTTTAAAAAGAGGTCCAAAATAATTGCCAACAATCACTGAAGTAGCCATATTGATCACATGACATTTGTCTGTGTATATATCTCAAATACAATTTAGACTTATATATGAAAACTAGTAATTTACCTACAGTAAATTGAGGACACAATAAATTCTATTTGAAGGAAATGTAGACATAAAAGCCTTAGAAATAAAACATGTATTTATTAGTTTGACAAATAACTGATTTTTGAATTGATTTATTTCATTTCATTTGGTAAAATTAGTAATAATACATTCTCCTATCATAGGAGGAACCAGCTAACTTGAACCAAAACAATTTATTCTACTGTGTCCTCTGTCCTGTGCACACCCTCCTCCTATTGGCTGTTATCACCTGAAATACAAGGCTGGGATTGGCTCGTGCCTTTTTCATGCAGCCTGAAATATATATGTAATTGCATCCGAGTGCAGCAGGTTTGGTTTTACAGCATCTGGGGAACAATAGGTTTCTAGGATATAAGCTTGTATAAACAGAGAGGGCACGCAGCTCGCTAAGGCTTTACTAACTCAGTGCTTGATTTAGACGAGGAGACGGTAAGATGGAAGACATTAAAGCAGAACAAAAGAAAGAGGAGGAATCTGGGAGTAGTTTATTTCACCTACTTATGACAAAGAAGACTGATCTAGAAAAGGAAGAGGTTTGTAAAAATACAGCTTAGAGTAGAGACATGTTGTATTATAGAGTTCTGAGATCTAAGTTGAATTAAGGCATGATATCAAACAGCACATTATGTATTAACATATATAGCATATTTGTACTTTGTGTATGTGTGTTCCCTCCTGTATGTGTGTGATATGTAACAAAGCACTTTCTGCTGTTGCTCTGCAGCTTCTCTAAGAGTTTTCCCCGCTGTCTCCCCAGAGGATCGTGCTACAGCGGCTGATAGTGATTGCTCGGCTCCCCCACGACCTCGCTGACAGGACAGAACTTGGAGGTCAGCCAGCAATTACCTTAGAGCCACGAAGAGCGGGGGCACAATAGCTCAGTGCTCGATAATAATAAGGCACTGCCATTCCACTGAGAAGATTCCTTCATTCAAATCAATGAACTAATCACCTTCTACCAATTTCATCTTGTTTTCCTTCAGGGGAGTGCAGGATGATGGTAATTGGTGTTACAGATGTGCTGATCTATGTGGAGAAACATCTATTTCTCAACTCTTAAAATGACAACAATGTGAAAAGAGCTGTGACAGACGGTCTTTTCCCCTTTGTTGGAGTTTTTACAAGCTTTCACACCTCTATGAGAATGCGTCTGCAGGGCGTCCTGTCTGTTGGGCTTTTTCTAGTTCCTGCTTAGGAATACTGACCCAATAAAAGAAAGACTGAACTGTGTGTTAACGACAGAGACACTTTCAAGTTGTCAGGCTGCCTCATTTCTCACTTATCTGCAACAAACTGTTCCTTTGTTTGTCTCCACACAGCTCATTACGAGAGACTCAACTTTCAGCTTAGCAAACGGTATTCATGGGATCTGATGACGGGCCGGCTGTACATTTACCCATCCTGTCTGCTGCATATCATCGAAGTGAGTTTCAAGTTTGTCTATGAGGAAGATGTGTTTTGTGTTATCATTAAGGTTGCATAGAAACTTAATCCACTGAATTACAAAAAATGTAATCGAATCTGAATACTTTTGGATACATTCAACCAAAAATGTAAGCTATTGCAAGTATTTTGGATTTTCAGGATCCACAGTTGGTTGAAACAAATGACCCATACAAGATTGGTACAAACTGAAAGTGCAATGTGAGTGTTTTTACAATATTGGAGTCAATTCAATAAATACAAATTACCAAAATAAACCAACTAAACAAATGTATTCTAGTAATCACTGACAACCACTACAATCTTTCTATGCATTTGTTCAGATATAATTGCGGCTGCCTTTTGTTTTTTGTATTTGATTGCTCAGTCCTCATTACTGTTATCCATTATGACTCAATATGGTGCACTTCTCTGTGGCTCTCTTCCAGTCATCCAGAGAGGTTCTGCTCTCTGTTCTGACGGACCTTAAAGACATGCAACACCAGACACACGGGTAATGATGCTTCATTCATCCTCACATGAAAAGTATAATAAAATGAAAACAATAAGATCATAAAATAATATTAGTAGATGAAGTCATACCCTGCCAACTTCAAAGCACATATATGTATGTTTGAAGACAAAGGTATCATGTTTGACAGATGAATAACATACATCTTAAAAGCACTGTCATGGTTTTGCTGAGCGTGTTCAAATAATAATGTCAACCTGTGTGTGTGCTCCTTTGTTAGTCTGTTTTTGACTTTATGTTTTTTTCATGTGTAACTAGGTCCATAAACACCCCAGTGAGGTCACTGTAGAATAATAAAAAGTGATACGAATACCCTAAAACCAGACTGTTATATCTGGTAAACAGAACCATAAACATTGTTTCCATCTCTTTCAGTGCCTTGCTGGAAGCTCCCAGGGTTGTGTTCATGGCCCATCATCCTCAGAGCAGGCTGTTCCAACAGTGGAGCTACAAGGTGAGCTTTCATCTTTGAGGATGCATTCATATCAGTGGTGGATAGTAACACAGTATATTTACTCAAGTACTGTACTTAAAGCTCCCATGTCATGCTTCTCCGGTTATTACCCGTCCCCTTGTGTGTTATGAAGGTTTTTCTGCATGTAAACGGTCTGCAGAGTAAAAACCCTCAAAGTACACCCTGTAGGGAGTAAAACTCCATCACAGTCTATGCTGCCCCAAAACGCCTCGTTGGAGATTTCTCATTTTCCATTGTTTACTTCCTGGGTATCACTACAAAGGGATACCCAGTAGCCACGCCCAGAGCTATGGCCGCACCCTCTGCCAGCCTTTCACGAAACAAAGCTTCCCAAACCTTTCAGCGATTCATGCCGGGTATGTACAGCGTAGGGCACTGAAGAACGATGCTGTTCCTACTTTGTTTGGACCAGCGGGAGATTCGGGTACAAAACCTGTATTCATTGTTGTTTGTGTATTTATGATGTTTAAAACAAACAAGGTATCTACCACGACTGTTTAAATGGGTAAACGTTTTTCGGACTTCTAAGTTGGGATCACGGAGAAATGCTCTCCGCAGACCCATGCTCACAGCGTTATCAACCTTTTTCTTACTCAATATCAAGCCACACTTATTGGTCCAACAAGCCGTTTAGGACAAAGAGTGAATACCGGTGAATACACATACTTTACAGAGATGCTGTTTGAGAAACCAATGTGAGTTTGGAAAATTGCACAGTATAAATCTATTTTAGTAGACCTCAACAATGGAATTATGATCAGTAGAAATGGCCATGACATGGGACCTTTAAGTACAATGTTGAGTCACTTTACCTGAGTATTCCCAGTTTATGCTACTTTGTACTTCTACTCCACTACATTTAAGAAGCCAATATTTACATTTGTACTCCCCATATTTATTTGCCAGCTTTTGTAACTTATTTTTTAGGCTATAATATTAGCTAATACAAAATCTAAATCAATGATTAATTCAACTTTGACATATATTTATAGGTTAAGATATCAAGTAGCAGTATAACAAATTATTCAAATGAGCTCTTCATTTACCAGTTGTGATCAAATACATGAATAATCATAATAGTGACCCAGCAATTCAATATACGATTCTGAAATCGGCCATTAATAACAATACTTTTTACTTAAGTAAGATTTTGATTGCAGGACTTTTACTTTTAAAATGTAGTATTGCTACTTTTTTTGTAACACATCTGAATACTTCTCCCACACTGATTAATAGAAGAAAAATAACACTGGGTGATACTTTACATTGTCTTAGTGAGGTGTTGTTACAGCACCAGCCATCAGAAGCGTTCATTAACTTTCTCCACACATTTATTTAGATTTCCCCTCTTCTATGATTTCCCTCTGAATTATAATCCGTATGCATGAGTTTGAGTGTTTCATGTTGTTGAAGGTGCTCGAAGCAGACCAGGTGGCAGGAGAACCTGGAGCGAAGGCTCTTGAGGATGAGGAGGAGACCACAGAAACGTTAGTGTGTACCGTTCTGTCAGGGCTGCAGAAACTGGACAAATCTAAAAAGGTGTGTTCAGTTTGATGGTCTCTTTAGGGATTGATGTACAGCATATGGAGGCCTATAGCTGTCATTGTAGTAAAAGATTCAAAAAGAAATCATTACTATAAGTATTAAATAAATGTAGCAATAAAAGCCTCAATCACTCAATAAATGTTCCTGGTCATTTAAAAATAATATCAACTTTTGGCTGTTAGTTGACAACATCAAGGCAACAAAATAAGTGAAAGAAAACCAGAAAATAATAAATAATTAGATATGAGCATGATGAATTTATACAAAATTGACAATTATTATTAATAATAACTTAAAATAAATATATAAATTGAGTTTATTAATGTTTGTATTTCTGAGAAAATGTATTGTTTTCTTTAATTAACATGCACATTATTTTGGTGATTGAGGCTCTTTTTCTACTTTGCTTTCTGTCTTTTACTTTTTTATTTATCACTTTCTATTAAGCTTTATTTATTGATTAAAATAGCAGCTTTGGTCCTCCATAGTCAGAAATAACTAACACATTTTATTTCTTTACTTAAAAACATAAACTAAATAGAATGTATTGATGTATTGAAGGCTGTTCCTGGGTCCGTGTGGGAAGAGACCCCGGAGCTGATCGCCTCTCAGAGGGTTCTCTACAAGCTGCTGGCTCGAGAGGAGCTCTTGACGCCTCAGCAACACCTTCAGATGTACAACTCACCGCTACACATCCACATGGACTTTGGTAAGAGCAGATGATAAATATACAGAGCATCCGGAAAGTGTTCATACCCCTTAACTCTTTTCACATTTTCTTATGTTACAGCCTTATTTCCAAATGGATTAATTTATTTTATTTTCTCAACATTCCACACACAATACCCCACAATGACAAATAGAAAACGTTTTTAAAGAATCTTTCGCAAATGTGTTAAGAATAATCAAATGAAATATCACATGTACATAAGTATTCAAACCCTTTGCTTTGACACTCAGGCGCATCCCGTTTCCACTGATCATCCTTGAGATGTTTCTAGAAATGTTTCTAGAAAAATGTGTGCAGCATTGAACATCCCAACGAGCACATTGGTCTCAATCATTTGCAAATGGAAGATGTTTGAAACCTCCACGGCTCTTCCTAGAGCTAAAGCCCAAACCCAAACAAAACTGAGCATCGAGGGAGAAGGGCCTTAAGTCAGAGAGGTGACCAAGAACCCGATGGTCACTCTGACAGAGCTCCAGTGTTCCTCTGTGGAGATGGGAGAACCTTCTAGAAGGACAATCATCTGTGCAGCACTCCACCAATCAGGCCTTTATGGTAGAGTGGCCAGAAGGAAGCCACTCCTCAGCAAAAGGCACATGAAAGCCCCCATGGAGCACCTAGAGGACTCTCAGACCACGAGAAACCAAATGGTCTGGTCTGATGAAACCAAGATGGATCTCTTTGGCCTGAAGGCCAAGCATCATGTCTGGAGGAACCCAGGCACCGCTCATCACCTGGCCAACACCATCCCTACAGTGAAGCATGGTGGTGGCAGCATCATGCTGTGGGGAGGTTTCTCAGCAGCAGGAACTGGGAGACTAGTCAGGATCAAGGGAACGATGAATGCAGCAATGTACAGGGAGATCCTTGATGAAAACCTGCTCCAGAGCGCTCTGGCCCTCAGACTGGGGCGAAATAAGGCTGTAATATAACAAAAATGTGGAAAAAGTGAAGGAGTATGAATACTTTCCGGATGCACTGTGCTTACTCATCCAACATGAATCTAATGAAAAGATGATTGTCTTTATAATAATATAATGTAATAATCTTGTTGATTTTAGCGATGATTCAAAGTGTTGAATGAAGCAAATCTGCACCAAGTAACATTTTGCTCTGTGTTCTGATCACTTAACAGGACAAGTGATCCGCAGCAGCCGCCTCACCACGGTTTAATGTTGTGGACAAAAGGTCAAAGGTAGGGAATCTCGTTATTTACTGTGAAACTCACAGTTAAGGCTTCACCTTTACCTAGGACTGGTCAGTCTTGACACTTGCAAAACAATGACCTTGTTCCAATTGTATTCAGACATTCATGATGAACGGAGGGTAAATCCTTGAAGAAAATATAAATCTGTCTGAAAAGAATCAGATTCAGAAATACTTGAATTATCCTGGGGGAATTTGGTTTTCCTGGCTGTAGTTCCACATTAGAATGATGACCCAATACCTGCAAAACTAATGGCCTTCCCATCAGGCTCAGCTGTACTTTGTGTTTACTGCTAATTAGCACCATGCTTAAACTCAAGATCATCAGCATGTTAGCATTGGCTTCAGAGAAACAGCATTTTGGCTGTAGACACTGAGTCTTGTTGTACTTTTCTCTGCATGCTACAACCTTTGCATGCAGCACAGCTTGGTTTTAACATGACAGCTGTGTGTTTGAGGTTTAACGTCTAGCAGAGCATGTGAAATGTTCATCTTAGAGGTCTTCATGCTAGGTGCATTTCAGTGCTGTCACTGTCAGAGACTTTAAATTGTGATTCACCTCGCAATTCAGAAACGTAATGGAGTGTTCTATGCCTCTGCAGAATGTTTGGCCTTCACTGAACTGCCTTGGATGTGACTGAAGGCTTCCTGGAGGAGAGAAATCACTGTGACAGTTTGTTAACAACATGTAATATACTGCAGCTTTGTTGTGTTCTTCAATATGCTTATTTCCAAATGCTGTTATATATAACACTTGTTTATGTGAAATAACAGTGACACCACATTTGCAACAAAGGCACAGAAACTCCAGGTAATATAAAAACATTTTTTAATAGTTTCAACATTCGGATGAGGTTAATTTTAATTCTATCTTACTGTACACTGTGTTCCACTCGGTGACCGGGAGATAGCTCGTCCAATAAAAAGGCATTTCCTCAAAACTTTAAAGAGTCCACAGCGTCACTACAGTTTCACACAAATCACTTTGAAGTCTCAAAAGATTCCTTGATCACTCATGTGTTCCCTTTTTATTTTGGCCCCCATTAATTGGAACATAAGCAAAAACAAGGAAAGAAAAGAGGATTGGAGATGGATTTTTGCAATGGCTGCATGCACCACAGTGTAATCTACAATAGTTTGGGTTCAAACAAATGCAGCATGGTTTTTTCTTGCTTGCTATATGATTTTCTTGAACTTTTCTAGAGATTGTAGTCCTTTGAAAGCGTAGTTTTCTGGGCACAAACATAATGACAGCTTGATTTCCTGACAGGGATCTCTGTTCTGAGCCAGATGTGCTTTTCTTATTTGCTATAGACACTGTATAAACACAGAAGATACATGGGGGAAACAGTAAATCATAATGGTTTCAAAACAAACTGGTGGAAAGTTGACTAAAAAAGGTCAAAGGGCACCACTAAATTCTTCTTCTTCTTTTATAAAGGTTGATCTATTCACTTATAAAAAATAAATACAAGCACATTTATATAGGACCAAAGATTAGACACATTTCATAGGCATGGTTTAAAAAAGCATGCTGCCGAGTTTCACACATCGAATCAAACGCCCCCCACACCTCCCGACCCAAAACGGACACTTTTGATCAAATACCCCACCACCCTCTTTTACTTGAGAATATGTCCACAACACAAACAGTCTGCCTTCATCACGACCTATGAGGTGAACATCGTCTATCACCAATACATTCCACCTATTCATGTAAAAAAGGCCTTTCGTCTTTTTAGTGCTCAAAGGGCATGCTTGCAAAAGCTGTAATACTGGAGACTGTCTCCCGGCTGTCTCTTGCTCGACAGGGTTATTGTTAATAAAGTTGTGTTTGATGAATACTGTATGTACAAGCCTTAATCTGAAACCCTTTAGTACAAAACGAAGAGCAGCACATTGTAACACAGAAATCCAGACAAAGACAGGACACACCATTCACTTCAGCACAGCCAAATTGTAACAATTACTTTCTAAAGAAAAGAAAAAGAAACTCCTATTTCTAAACACTGGCATAGATGCTGTATCGATTGAAGGGTCGGATTGGATCATTGGTGTGAATTGTAGCACAGCTGAAACATGAGGTCGATTTTTTTGATTGACAGAAAGTGTTACTTTGATAACTTAGAGCAGAAATGCCAGACATTTTATCGGAAAAAAATGTGTTATTCACAGCCCTTAAATATCCGGTTGTTTCTGTGCCTTGGAAACTTTTTTTGCAGGTTCTGATTTGTTCTTTTTTTATCTATCACATATCTATCTAAGGTTACTGTAAAGATCTTAGTTTTAGTTTCGCTGGCAAACTAAAAGACAGCGGTGCAACAGTTTCATGCAGAGTCTCTTTTAACCTCTCAAACCCTGCGTTACAGCTGCAGGTTGTTCGGACAAGCTTTGTGCAAGCCCACAGAAAGTTATTTGACATTTTAAACAAGATCCGCACATTTAGAGAAATATCCAATATGCTGGATTCTCTGTTGGAACATCTTGAATTCTCCATTTGAAGAAATGTAGTATCATGTAGCTGCGAAGATGTGTTACAACAAGCTAATACAGAAAGGCAATATTATTGAACTGCAAAGCTAAAATGAGGGTTCAAGAGGTTAATTCTTATCTGCAACACAAGCACTATCAGCAGCTTTTATTAAGTAAATCTAAATCTAGATTAACCTTGAGCCTACAGTTTTTTTTTGTGTGAATGTGGCGATATTGTGCTAGAACCAGCGACATTGTAATATAATGTTCATCGACATATTTTTCAATGCAGTATTTTCATATATCTATATATATATATTTGATTTCTCCCCTGCCACTATATACAGAACTGGTATGTACAGCGGCTCACTATTTACAAAAGTCCTGTAAGTGATATTTGAAAGATAGAGGGTGCAGAGCAGCACAGTGACTTTGAGGCCATGTGTAGTGGATGTTTTCAGGACATTATGGAGAGTCAAATCTGGATGGGTCATGGTGAAACCCCCCAAAAGGCAAATAACAAACTGCTGCTGTCGAATGCAAACCTTGTTACTCCAGTTTTATTGATTTTCAAGTTTTCTGCTTCCTGAAAAGGTTTCGATGCGACAGCAGGGAAATTCTGGTCCCATGTTTAGTTTTTTTTGGATGAGATTCATGTGTAGTGGAAACAATCACAACTCTTCAGACCTAGTAAAAAGTATTCAGAAATATATCTGTATAAATACTCTCATTAAAATAAACACATACATATCTTTGCACTTGCCTCTGGTTCACTTATATAGACCGAAAATACCAGCATCATCAGACAGGGGTCTTGGGGGGGGGCTGCCAGAGATAAAGGTGTGCTTGTTTTTACCACTGAGGCGACAAAAATAGCACCTTTTTTTCAGGGAGTGTGACTGTTTTCAGTTGAGATATGATAGGACGTTATTACACCTCAGGACAGGAGGATGAGATCTCATCCCGCTCAGCTGAACAACACCTCGCTGGGAGGACTCTGCAGAGGTTTGGCGTCACAGAGGGAGCCTGAAGGGTGCCGTCGGAGCTCCTGTCTGTTGAATGCCTGATCTTTACTTTCTAAAAAGACCCTTTGATTTTACTTTTCATAAATGTGTGTCTTCCGATCATAATTCACAATTGTTGTGTCCCTTGCTTTATCATTTGCTATTCAAATATTGTTATCACTTAGTGGTTGGCTCTTCATATTTATTCCAGCAGTATGATAGAGTAAGGGGCCCTGTGGAGTTTTTGATCAGTAGCAGCGCTTTGGGACTACACTTTGAGGTGGATACAGATGATATTTTCACTTAGCTTGAATAATTTCAAAACAGATCTACTTATCTTCTTATTATCATTTAGATTGATATTGAAATTGCGACATTATTCACGATATTGGAGGGAATTATTTTTCAATAACTAAATCATCACATTTTGCTAGGTTCTGTAATAAAGATTTTCCAAAAAACATCATTAGGATGATCAGCATTTGCCAGGACATCTCTACAGCAACACAATACAGTGACATGTTAAAGATAGTATATTGACACATATAACAAATATTGTGTCCATCGCAATTTGGATATTTAATTCCAAATTGCGATTTCAGCTCTTATTTGCAAAACTGATTCAATGAAGGTGGGACACAAATAACAGTCCCCTGCCGATGTTGTGCAATTCCACTGATTTGGTGGTCACAGCAATAAGCCCTCAGAAGCAGAGAAGTAGAAAACTGCGAGGACATACGCATCGTACTCTGCTAAAGGAAGGATATTCTTTCAATCGCTTTGCTTGTGTCTGGTGAGAGACACTAAATGTGAGCATAACTTCTGTTCATTTACAAGAAAACTCCACAGGACACCTCTAAGGAAAGTCCATCCCACAGAGCAGGAGCCGTGGTCCTGCCAATAGATAACAGCTGCTAACAGCTTCATAATTATTCATTTCAGCAAATGTCCCCGTGGCACACTCCAGGCATCATGGACTCTCTGTGGACCCTGCTCCACAGTCTGCAAACTGGAAATGACTTATTACTTATCACATGGAGTTTTTCATTTCCAAACCCTTTCAATTTGTACCTGTATGTATCTCATATGTTTAATAGAGTTCTGACAGCATCTGTATGCTATCTGGAGGAAATGGTATCTTTATAGCTCTTTAGACACAAAATAGGATTTGATCTGATTTAAAACCTTAATTGTATCATATATTCTGAAAATGTACAATATAAACAATAAATATTCAGTGATTGATATCCTGATTGATGTAAATACAGATGAGAGTGTGATTGTTTTTTTTTTACCTCTTTGCAACCTGGTCGTTTCCTAAATCTCTAAAACATGCATTCCTGTTTAAGCGCCACGACACCAACAGTGCAACATCAGATAGTACCACACACACACACACACACACACACACACACACACACACACACACACACACACACACACACACACACACACACACACACACACTTTCCAAAACGGCACACTCACAGTGAACGCTCAGGCGGGACACATACTCAGGGTTGTTGCCTCCACAGGCATTTCAACTGATACCCCTGAGGGATGAAGAGGAATGTGAGATGGGAAACAAACAGGAACAGGAAGAGTTGGCAGGACAGATGTACAGTACTTCTTAAATTCACTCAGGAGAAGCAGCAGCAGAGCGCACTCATCCCTCCCAGCAGCCTTTAATAACACATTATGTAACAACTCCAGAACATGTAGTGCATTTCCACTTCATGTAATAACAGCAGCATTTTGTAAAGTCAACAGCTTGAATGCAAAATGTAAAACGTTTACCCGCATTTTAATGTTAATTATTAGATACTAAAGTGGTATTTGCAAAAATATTAAGCTATTTTATTAATTGAAATGTAAAATATAAATTATATGGTAACCAATTAAGTCTTCATCTGTTCTTTAAAGAAGGCCAACATTGCATTTGTAGATTTGACCAATGAAATATAATCTACCTAACTAATTGTATATTTGCAAATGAGTCAGTATGCATATTACACTTTTTTGGAATGAAGACGTGCATTTAGGTTTGTAATACTTAGATAATGTATTATTACCTATTAATGAATAAAAGGGTTCCGGGTTTTCGTTATAAATGTATTTGTTATAAAATGCGGAGAAATTAATTACATTTTGTGCTCAGGCGGTTTTTTACAAAATGTTGCGGATTATTACAAAATGACACAAAAATGTGTGAAATCTTTCCTGGTTGTTAAATATTGTGTTATTACATAATGCCTTTTCCAGTCTCGTGTGTGAAGTTAAAGGCAATATTGCAAGTGAATCAAATAAGGCAAAAATAAACAAAAAACATTAATAATAAAAACAAACAGTAAACACAAAATGTCAAAGTATGTGTTGTCCCCTGACAATATTGTCGCCATCGCCTCATGTGATCCGGATTTATTTTGGGTATCTTTTGTTGTTTTCTCACAGTTTCACCCCTCTGGAGTACAGTGAGGTGTGACGATGAGATCCAGAGCGAGGCTGTAAGTAATCCAGTGGGAGAAGTGAAAAGGTCAATGTATGAGTGTGTGCCAGGGAGGGGGGGGGGGCTCAGTGGCGTCATAGCACTGTGCTTTCAGACTCTTCCTCCGACTCGGCTCTGAAGCCCGTGGGTTCACGCAGTGCCACCGAGTTCCTGAAGGGGGAGATGTGGGGCAGGTCGAAAATACAGTTCAGTTCCACGTCGATGATGGGGATGTCCAAGTTGCAGAGACAATCTGGCAGGGCCAAAACACAGACAGGAAATCAGCGAAAGAGAGTGAAATGACAATACAGTTGATGTGGGTGAAAGAAAGCTGGATGATGGTACACACAGCAGGTGGGTCATTATAAACTCAAACCATTGAACCAAAGTATGAGAAAAATAAAAACAAAGCATGAAAGGGGTGCACGATTTACAAGGTGCACAGTATGTCATGGGGGTGTCTGCATACTTGCTTTTGACCATGTAGTGCATTTATTTTTAATTAGTTTAAATAGATAGTAAAGACTTTTTCAACTTCACTTTTTTTATCACAATACTGAGTTCAATGCTCGCCCAGCGCAATAGAAATGATTACAATTACATCATTTTATATAGTTCCATGCAAGGTGAAAATATACTGACGTTTAATCCTTATAGCATGAGTCAAGCTTTAGGAACCGTAGATCCCACGATGCTAATATCTGTATCGACAAATCCCCTATCTATATACCCATTGCTAACACCTGATTCAGACATGATCAATGATCAATATAAAAAGGCTAGTCAATCCAGTGAACACTGTCGGACCCAGACCATGAGATGACAGTGTAGTCATCCTTGTGTATCAACTAATATATTGACCTCAGTTTTGATGCAACAGTGTAACATGTGTGATGAATATCTGCACAAACAGGAAGTGTGCAGACTGAACAGCGATGGTGAGGGCAGTGAGGCACAACACTGCGGAGTTGGAGGGGAGGGTATGGGGGGGCATCTGGAGCAGGGCATTATGATTGGGAATCCTGAGGGCAGAGAAGGTTGGAGGTTTTTGGCGACCGCCCCGGTCTGTTTAGCCATGCATCGCATCAATCTCAGCCGCCATGCAAAGGCTGAAACAATGGGTTAAAGCTGGTCTGAGGACAGCGGCTGTATAGAGTGCTGCAGGATGACTCCTAAAACCTGGAAATGAGTCAGCGCTTTGCACTTCAGGTTCCCTAGTCTCATAGTCAGGGAATAAGAAAAAGAAGTATGTCATCCCTGCAGCACTCTACATACATAATGAAAGGTAATGTACAATAAGGAGTGCATTAAGAGTGAGGCTGCCATCAGACAGAAGCCTGATCTAATATCTGCATCTACTGGCAACCTCACCCTACTGAGAGCTTACTCCATGGCAGGGGGGTTGGAGGGGTGAGGTGTGAGGCTTTAGCACAGGAACTCCTGCTTACCCTAAAAGTCCCTCTCACACATAGAATCACACTGAACCTCTCGGCTCATACCGCTGTAAGTGAGACAACGAGAGCAGTCGACAAGAGGGGACAAGTACAAGAAAATACAGTTGAAACTTACAGAGGTAAATAAACAGGTAAAAAGAGTTAAATCCAGAAACAGCCAACATGAAATAGACATATATTACCATATCATATATAAGGATGATTTTCAACAAGTCCCATGAAAAGACACCATTTGAATTCCCTACCTGTAAAGACTTTTTTTTATGTGTTTTTGGAATGCATAGATTGAAAACAACCAAACTGACTTAAATTAACTAATCTAATCTCGACTAAACTAATCTAAACTGAACTATACACTAATCTCAAGTAAACTAATCCAAACTAATGATTAATTCAACTGCCAGGTTGACATTTTGAAAAGTCAGAAATATACTGTATTAGTTTATGGTAACTCAGTGATAACATTGAATCAATAATTCATTCATAAATGTATGACCTGTTAAATAATCTTGTAAAATCTAGTTGAACTGAAGCCAAATTATAATTTATGCAAAATAACAAAATCATACCTTAGAATAACCAGTAATTAATGGACTAAGGTAAATGCAGTGAAATCAGAGTGCGTATTGCTAAAAATACTTCAAAGCTCTACTTGAACACAACAGGTGTACACGTGTACAGATCTGTATCATACACCTTACCTGTGGACATGCTTTCCCCAGGAGACAAACCATCCAGGAGGCCTGAAGAATGATCCAGGGGCTGGGGGCTGGTGCCGGGCGTGCTGGGGGGCTGAGGGGGGGGTAAACTGGGTCTCTGCCGGGGCGGCTTGGGGGTGGGCCTGGCCTTGGTGAGGGTCCCGGCCAGTGAGGGGGGAGAGGAGAGAGACGGGGTGGAGGCCAGCTGGATCTGTCCCGGGGAGCCGATGGTGGCGTATCCCTGCGGGTAGCTGAAGCTGTACGGGGAGGGGGTGCTGGGGGGGGTGGGCGACAGGCTGACAGGGGACGGCTGGCCTGTGGACTGGTCCGACATGGCTCCTGACTGGCAGTACGGGACTTTGGGGGGGATCGGGGCCAGCTTCTTTGCTGCAGAGAGAACAGAAAAACATGTTCCTGTTATATAAATATTACAAAACTGCAGTGAGATGTTACACCTGTTGAGCAATATGGAGCAGAGCCACTACTGGAGAGCAGCTGTCAAAAGAACCAGTTTGAAGAATAACGACAAAGCAAGAACAGAAAAAAAAGGATTTAAAGGTCACCTAAATTGCTATTTTTAGGCAATAGCATATATAGGTCTCCGATATATAAAAAACATGGCTATGAAGTGTTTTGCTCAAAATACCAAACTGATCACCCATTCTAGCCATGCCTCATATCCCTCTATTTCACTTCCTGTTTCAAAAGTGCTGATTTTGGGTATAAAGCTTTAAAAAAAAAAAAATGTATACAAAAGAAAAGGAGGGGGCTGAGCTCATGCGGCAACCGGCAGCTACTGTCTAAACTAAACATTTCCGTGATGAAACGCCATATCATGGGTTATCAAGGATTATTTCTGAAACAGTATGGAGCTCAAAGGCTTTCTCTCTTGCCGGTTATACCACAAGGTGAGTTCCTTTTTATTTCCTGCTTCTTCACACACATGCTCTCCAGTACAGGTTAGCTCTGAGTGTTAGCGATGCTAATGTAAACACCGACCATACATCCAAAACAGTCGGGCATTGTTTCTGATAGCAACGTTTCTGATAGTGCCGTGGGTCCACAATTCCGATATTACGTCATATCGGACGCAAATCTGGATCAGCTCCGTTGAGATTTGGGTACGGAGGAAAAGAGAGAGGGTTTTATTTTCTGACGCTGCGTGAGTTCCCTGACACACCGGGGACACATATGTATGTATAAAAGACATAAAAAAGTGCATTTTGCATGATAGGTCCCCTTTAAGAGGTTTTGGATTATTTTAAAGATATTATCATAAATGAGTAACATGACAAATATCGCGACCGCCCTAGTTTAGACTAATGGAGGGGTCAGCGCTCAGCCTCATTACCTCTCCTCAGGGTGTGGGGGCTGTGATCAGATGCACTAGAGGTCAGCGTCCCCTGCAGTCCCTGCAGTCCCTTCTGTCCAATCACTGGAGACAGCTCCTTGTTCTTTAGAGTACTGAGGACACATTGAAGGAGAAAAATACACACAGGAATTACAATCATGCTCATGCATCTATCTTCTCTTTAATAACATGCCATACAAAATATGAGAGGACCCATAGTTCAATGTCAAGTTGCCTGAGTGATCACTGTCACAGGCCAACATGTAGTACACACACTGCAGGGCAGCAGAAGCACTTCAAAAATCCCAAATAAACTGTAATGGCTTAATGGATTTTCCTTAATGTTGCAGTGCAGTGCAGCCAGAATGCCAATGGGAGGGCGGCCTGAAGGTAAAAAATCACCAGTTTACTCAGCGGATGAGGCATGAATGACTGAGGCTGCTGGGATTTAAAGATGGAGTGGAGCAATGCACATGGGCATCCATGGGCTTAATTTCAAAGTCTACATAAATTGGGCCTCATGCTGGAAATTCACTTGAATTCCTCTTATAATTTCTTTTCATTTTCACTTAAGAGAAGAAATAACAGAAGTCCCCTCCATTTGAATCAGTCCATGTCTGCTCTGATCATGAATTGGAGGCATGTGGTTGATTATTGACATGGCAGGTGTTCTGCCATGAGCAAACACTAATCATTCAATCACTCTGATATTGAAGTTTTGTTTTCTCAAATTCTAGTATGTCTCCTTATGTTGGACAGACCATTTTTGTACTGCTAACACAAAATGTTTTTCTTGTCTTAGTAAAAGTGCCCCTCGGCTGCTTCCAACATTTTCTCTTATCTAAGAGTAGAGTAAGAAATGTGTAAATCCCAGAAATCAATGGGTACCTAGAAAAGAGAAAAGAGGAAATGTGTTATCCTAATCACTTCCTGCATGAGGCCCATTGTGTTGCTCTGATCTTGCAGTGACAGTCTACCACTCAAGGCTCACTGGTATGACTCATTAACGCCCACTTTTTATAATGGTATGCACCGAAAGCCTTCCATTTCCTTTGTTGCCTGGCAACCACCTCCTTAATATCCTGGCAACATGGAAAGTTATGGATTGCATTTATGGCAATTATATGAAAAGATGGATGGATCTGATAATGGAGACCCTAAAGAGCATAGATTTTCCTTGACTGACGGATACACTACGGAGGGAATAAAAGAGAACAAAGAACAGGGAGCTGCTGGGAGGATCTTAATCTCACATACTCCCCTCTCCTCCTCACATCATCCCTCTTTCTTCATGTGTGTGTGAGCTGTGTTGGAAGTTGGAGCGAGTTCAGCAGGCTTCTGTATTTACCTAGTCAGCTTGGCTCCTCTCTCTCGGCTACAGGCTGCCCATGGAGGGGGAGCAGAGAGGGGGGTGTTGGGAGGTTTGGGGGAGCCAAGGAAAAGATCTTGACGAGTAAGAACGAGCGGGGGTTTGATGTAAAGGGTGGAGCCATTCGCTTCGGACAGGGCCGCATGCGACACATCGGGCAGGGACGCCTGTTTTGGCAGGTGCAAGGAATTGGGTTTGGGGTTTGAGTTGACGTCAAGCGGCTGGGGGGACGGGCTGAGGGAGTGGGGGAGCGTGGGCGGGCTGTAGCCACAGCGGCGGGAGGGAGGTGAAGGGCCGGGGGGCACAGAGTCGGGATTAGGAGCAACGGGACGCATACCCAGAGGTGCACGGGTGAAGTGATGGTGGTGAGGGAGCGAGAAGGAAGAGCAAGAGGAGGATGAGGAGGAGGAGGAGGAAGAGGGGTAAGGGGGAGGCGGCCTCTCCTCCTCAGGGGAGGGGTAGGCGTAACCGGAGTCCGACCAATTGGAGGATGCATCATCCGAGCTGCAATGATAAACACGTCAATGTTTCATGGGGTTCGAGCTGCAGAGCTGAGTGCAGGGAGGCATTACAGCTTAAGACTGAGAGCTGTGGGATTTATTGTTAGGAGAGTTTAAGTTTGGGAGGAAATCAGGCGAATATTATTTATTGTGAGAACAGAGGAAACAATATGGAAGAAATGGGAAATAAAATCAAACTGAAAAGTGAATCACCTCATCCATTGCAGGGCTTTGCGACAATGGACTGTAAAGCTGTTAATGATGCTTGGACTAATGACAAAAAAACAAAACAGATATAGTTCATGCACATGCAGCAATGAAACACTCAACTATGTCTGAGCTTTTCTCAACTTTGTTTCCACATGTTATATGAAACAACCTAAGGACAAGAACACATCTTAACATGATATAGAGTTACACCACTCAGGCACAACATGTTTCTTCCAGATGTGGCTACTTTATGAAAGAATTAGAGATGAGAAATGAACACCAACTTAAAAAGGGACAGTTCACGTGAAAATGAAAAATACATATTGTTCCTCTAACATGTAGTAGTATTGATCAATCTAGATAATAATAAAACAACTAAAAGACAATAATGTACTTCTCTCTGAGTGGTGATATTGTTTCAGCATGCAGTTTAGCAGAAAGAAAATAGTTCCTATATCAAACTGCTCAGTCAGTGGATTATCTCTAGTAACTGGGCCATTGATGTTTAATCAGCTAATGTATTTGTTGGCCCTTGTAAGCAGCACATGGAGGTTCCATCTAGTTCCATTATAATTAGAGAAGGGAGTCGATATCTCCAAAACTCGACAGCTAGCATCAACACAATCTAGATTGAATAGCACTACAGGTAAGAGGATGAATGGGTATTTTACATTTTAGGGTATTACATTTTGCCCTTTTTAAAGCAATGACATCGTTTGACATGACATGCTTCATCCGAGGTGAGACACCGGGGTTCATACAGAGGTGGGGACGAGCATTTTGTGGGGGAAAACAGCAAGAGACAAGAATAACGTGGAGCAGACGGTGCTGTATGGGGGTCAGTTGCAGGGCACGCGGGTGGGTAGGGGAGCAGCAGCAGGTGGGAGGAGGTTAAGGCTAGGGGGGGGGGGG